ATGAGATATTTATAAAGTACTTTCCAAACCTTAAATGCTATATAAATGTTACTACAATTATTATTAAATACTATTTCTATGTTTTCAAATAATAGAGAATAGAATCTAAAAGGTCATAAGTTTTTTTGAAAAATGACGTATACATTTGAAAGCATGTTTTATTAAAATCATAAAAAGAAAACAGTTGTCTCATTTGAATAGATCTGAAGAATAACTTTACATTAATCAGTGAATTTAGATTTATAGTAACTATCTTTAACATTGTTCTTCATTCTCACTATGACCTCCAATCCCTCTACTTCTCAGTTCTTTCACAAACTAGCAACCTTGAATTAGCTACATTCCCCTCTCTTTTATATCTTAGTCCCTAAGTAAACCTGTTCAACTCATCACTATACTCTACATTCCAGGCATGGGGGACAGCCAGAGAAAATACTCAGAGCTGAGAGGGGAAGTGTCTTATCTGCGGACAGGAGACCACTGTCACTGGATCAAAGAGAACGTTTTGAGGAGTAAGGTACAAGAAGAATGGAAAGGTAGGAGAGGACTAGGTTATGAAAGGCTCCGAATGCCAAAGAGAGCATTCTGTAGTTGCTCTTGGAGGCAAGAGGAAGTCAGTGGAGTTTACCCAGTAGGGGGGTATCTCCAACAGTACTACATTAATCAATTCATTATCCTACTCAAGACTGCCTATTCCAAACCTTGACATCACTCTTCAAGACTCCTGTGGCACTCATATCTCCTATTTCTCATGTGAGGACCTTGCCTCATACTAAAAAAAACTAGAAGCCATTCACCAAGAGCTCAGTCTTCTCTTCCTTCTTAACTGATATCATTCAGATGTCTTCTCCTCTCTGTCCCCTTTTCAATTAATTGCCAGTGAAAAGGCACAAAATCAGGAGATGGACTCCCCTGTGGGAAAAACAGTAAGAAGGTTGATGTTGCTGGATCAGAGATTCCATATTAGCAAATAGGGTTCATTTTATCTCCTTTTTTTAAAAAAATGGAATAGGATCATTTGTACATGTAGAGAATTTAGAATTAGCAAGGTGAGTCACTTCTTCCTATGAGACTAGGTTCATGAAGGAGGAGATGGTGGGGAAAGTGTCTGCATGATGTCAGATGAAAAAGAGTATAGAGGGAACTCTTAGCAAATGGCCTCAATTTTTTCAGCAAGATAAGAAGCTAGATCATTAGCTGTGAGAGAGTGGGGACAGAGAAGCCATGGAAGGAATTAAAGCCATCTAAATTTGTCCATCAGTTCATTTAGCTTGGAAAAGCAGACATGTTGGACTCAGAAATGAATGAGGAATTACCTAATATAGGCTGGGCTTGGTGGTGCACCTCTATAGTCCCTACTGCTAGGAGGCTGAAGCTTATGGAACTGTTTAAGCTTCAGAGTTCTGAGCTGCAGGAGGATTACAGTAGACCCCACTAAGTCAATATGGTAACCAGCTGAGATTATACAGAGTAGGTTAAAGTTTCTGTGTCAATCAGTGTTGGGATCAAGGTAGCCAGTGACCTCTGTATTTCCAGCCTAGGCAAAATTGGGAGATGCAGTCTCCCCCCTTCCCTTTAATCACAAGTGCTTTAACTGACCTCAAGATTATCCCTGAAGAAAAACCCATCTTTTAAATAGCAATATTTTTCTGGTATTATTACAGGGCTGAAAATCATGGGATACTCCAATATTTGAAGAATAAAAACTGCAAGTCACCTAAAAAGCCATGGAGAGGCATTTGGTAGACATAAAAAGGCTGCAGCATATTGCCAATGATTTTCACACAGGAAACAAAATAAAAGATAATACTATCAAAGGTATAAAAAGCTGACAAGGAGAGTAATTATAAATGTTAGAAGGGTTTGTCTTAGAAAGACAAACTCCCTACTACTCTTTTGGTGGAGCTGAAACAAATTAATAAGCACTTATTAAAATTTAAATTTTTGTTTGTTTGTTTTTGCTAGGCAATGGGGTTAAGTGACTTGCCCAGGGTCACACAGCTAGTAAGTGTTATGTGTCTGAGGCCGCATTTGAACTCAGGTCCTCCTGGCTCCAGGGCCGTAAAGTGCTAAAGATATAGTCAAAAAACTGAACATGCACTCAGGGAGATCACAGTCTAAAGGGTAAGAAGACATGGAAACAATTATGTACAAAAAAGACAAACAAAAAATGCAAGAAAATCTTAGAGGAAAGACACTACCATTAAATGGATTGAGAAAGGCTTCTGGCAGAAGATGGTTTTTAGCTAGCACCTGAAGGAAATAAGGCAAGTCAGCAAATGAAAATGGGGAGGGAGAGAATTCTCAGTTTGGTACAGAGGCAATGCAAATGCCTTGCGGAGATGGAGAGTCTTGTGTAAGTACCATCTTCTGTTCTCGAGTCCCTTGCCCTCACCGCACGTGCAGCCCTGGATCACTCCCACAATCCACTCCTTTTGCTCCTATTTCTATTGTTGTTGTTGCTGCTGCTGTTCAGTCATTTCAGTAGTGTTGAGTCATTGTGACCCCTTTGGGAGATTTCTTGGCAAAACACTGAGGTGGTTTGCCATTTCCTTCTCCAGTTCATTTTACAGAGGAGGAAAGTGAGGCATACAGGGTTAAGTGATTTGCCCAGGGTCACACAGCACAGCTGGTAAGTGTATGAGACCAGATTTGAACTTAGGAAAATGAGTCTTCTTAACTCTGTACTCTATACACTTTACCACCTATGTGCTGCTTAAGAAAACTGGAGGTTTTGTTTTGTTACATAAGCTCAACAGAGATCTCACAAGGAAGGACAATCCTTTTACACCTCCCTAATCAATTCAGTATGCCATTCAATGCAGCAGCTTTTGAAAACCTTTTCATTTTTCCTGGACCATTCCATGGCTTCTCTGTCCCCACCCTTTCACAGCTGAAGATCTAGCTCCTGCTCTTGCTGAAAAAATGGAGGCCATTTGCTAACAGTTCCCTCTATACTCTTCATCTTACATCATGCAGACACTTTCCCCACTGTTTCCTCCTTTATGAACCTTGTCTCACAGGATGAGGTGGCTCATCTTGGTATTCTAAATTCTCTACATGTGCAAATGATTCTATTCCATCTTCGGTTCTCCAGAAGATTGACACCTCTGTTATCCTTGATCTGTCATTAATCTTCAATTTTTTAAATTCGTTCACCAAAGGGTCAAAATGGGAAAGGAAGAAGAATGTAACCAGCACAAGAGTAATGGTCTAAGAAAGAACTGAGGTTTGAAGGGACTGGAGATCACAGTGAGGAAGAAGAACAAGGTTAGGGTTTGCAGGGGTGCTTCTGTTACATTTGTTTACTGAAATATTTCTGCATTTTTTTTGGAGTGACTTCTAATTTCTTTATATTTAAATATATTATATGTTCTTTACATTTTAAAAATGGCAATGATAAACTAGTTTTTAGTTCACATTGTTTGGAAAATTCTATAGTAAAATATGGCCTTTTTTAAATATCAAAATTCTCAAACCTAGGGGTTAGACCAGATGACCTTTAAGGTCCCTTTCCACCTCTAAATCGATAATCAGTTCAATAGACACTAAGAGTTCCAAATTCAGGATCCTATGGAGTTATCAACTTTGTACCTATACTCCATGTAGAAAAACTACTTTCAACAAATATAGAGATACTGAAATCTCTGGGCATACTGTATTAATAAGCAAATCCTGGTAAAGTACTTCCAGTTTATTTACAAATGTAGATTCATTTATCTAAAAGAATGCTAAAGAAAAATTTTAACTAAATACAAAAATCATGAGAGGGCACCTCAAATGGTATTCCCTCCAATCTATTTAATTAAGACAATCAATCAACAGATACATATTAATTAACTGCTACAGGATAGACACTGTGCTAAGTGCTGAGGATATAAAGAATCGTAGTGGTTGCTAAGTGGTCGCTAACAGGTTTTCCTTGCACCACTTGTTTCTCTATAAGCCTTCATTATGTTTGGTTTTTTGGTTTGTTTTTTGGGGTTTTTTTTTTTAGGCAATTGGGGTTAAGTGACTTGCCCAGGGTCACACTGCTAGTAAGTGTTATGTGTTTGCTCTGAGGCCAGATTCAAACTCGGGTCCTCCTGACTTCAGGGTCAGTGTTCTTTCCACTGCACCACTTACCTGCCCTCTTCATTATGTTTTAGCTATGCAATTTTGGGATATGCAAATTGCCACTACCACATCTTCCATGACCGCTGGAAACTCAGTAGAGAAGGGACTTTGGACAGTTGCTAGTGTCACGTTCTCTTGCTCTCACCTTGTGAGGAGTCTTCCAGAGAAGGGGAATATAGCCAGTTTCCACCCTTTCCCTTGCCCACCCTCCAAAATCAATAATTATAAGAATTTGGGGAAATCACAAATAGTTTTCCATAAGAAAAAACTGAGTGCCTTAGTTTTACAAATGTGGATACTTTCCAAAGATAGCATATCCTTCTAAAGTAACTTATCAACTTTATTAGAATTATGATAGCCATTTCAATGGACTAACAGTCATTGAAACATGAAATATTGTCAAATATCCTAGATTACAGACACAACCTTCTCTTTCTCTAAAAACTGTCTCAAAAGCCTATTCTAAATCAAGAAGAGAAATACTCCTACCACTACAAATTCCATACACTATCTTGACAGGATTTAAATAAGATGTACAGGCCTACTTTTAAGGATTAGTCCAATTCTGATATTAAAAAGGCCATATTTTACTATATTATTTTTCAAATAATGTGAACTAAAAACTAGTTTATCATTGCCATTTTTTAAATATAAAGAATAAACAAAAGAAACAAGTCACTCCCCCAAAAAAACACAGAAATATTCAGTAAACAAATGTAACAGAAGCACCCTTTGAAACCCATGTTTTGTCTTTTAAAAATAATCATTCAAATCCTTCTGCATTTCCAATTCTTAAATTATTTTCATCCAAACTATCATGTTTCTTAAAATTGATATGCATCTGAAATGACAATTACGAATAAATTAGAGAATAAAGAACATACCTGATCTTCACTAGTTAAGCCAATGTGCATAACAAGATAAAAATGCACCAGGAAATCAGAGTTTGGCAAAACATCTTGGCGTCTGGTCATCATAGCACAGATTAGCCTGTATGCTTGTAGTTTACCTTCTTTATATTCATTTGGCAATGTAACAGCCTGAAAAAAACAAGTAATTTTTACTATTGCCCAATTCAAGCTGTTCAGAACTTCAATACTGCAATAAAATTCTATACATAGTGAATCTTAATACCTTATAATAATTTCTTTATACTAATCTTAATAACATATAGTTTGCTGGAATTTTTTTCTATCACTTTTTCCTCTGTTATAGGGAAGACAGGAGAGAAGGGTTACATTGGGACATAGGTGATGTAAAAAACAAAAATCATAAATAATTTTTAAAATTTAAGGCAAAAAAATTAATTTACCTTAAATAGCCATGATGCAAATATTCGCAGTGGTGGGATCAAGACAGGAGGAGACGGAGAAGTCTGGTTATCCAAACTTATTGCTAGGTTATCCCGTATCTAAACAGAAAGAATAGTCGTTAGAGGGCTTATTATATAGTGCCATAAAAGTATATTACAAGATAGAAAAATGTTTGCTCAAAAGTCTTACCTGATTTTTATAAGGATAAACAAGAAAATACATTCTATAAATATTTTTTCTACCTATATCCCAAATATTAACATCTGAGAATTACATCTTTATCTTTATATAAATGGATTGGCCCTGACATAAAGAAATGAAATCATTTTCAACCCAATTTTAATTCACTATTTTTAGATAGTTACAACAGAATGAATGAATGCTTATTTGGTAGTTATATTATAGCTATTATAAAAGTCACACAAATTATTTATGAATTTCAACATGTTCCTATCTAAGTTCTATCAGGTCATTTCTTAAGAAAACAAAATAAAAATAAAAACATTATATAAGAAAAACTCTCATGTTTTAAGACTGAAATTCATATTTAATTTTTATTTGGTTTTCACAATAAGCATAAAATATACTCAAACTTCCAAGCTATATCCTGAATCTAGCAAACTGCAACATTTTAATAGTAAATAAGTTGCACTATATTAGAGAAAAAGTAAAATCAAAAACAGTACCTTTGCTAGCTTATACCAGAGTTCATAGAGATAGCTAAAAACTTTGGCATGGATTTTGGGTGACTGGATGTTATTAACATCTCCAAGGATTCCCAAGATTCTTCTCCATAGCACAGCAGCAGAATCTGGATGCCAACCTATGAGATTTCCACCAGCAATTATACTGCAGTCATCAGTGAGGCATTCACTGCTATCTGTAGAATTTAAAAAAAAAAACCACCACACACACAATTTTAATCATATAATTTATATTCCATTTTTATTATCCTTCTCCAGGAATAGCTACCTTTACATTCTGAATTTCACAGACACTGAATAAAAGGTATTTAGCTTCTCTTAAAAATATGGAATGCCTAAGAATGTAGAAATGCTAGAAAGTAAGATAAATGAGGAGAAGTTAAAGTGTCAGTGATCACTCAAGTTATATAAGGTTAAGGATTAAGTTGTCAAACTGCAGAATTTGAGAGTTGACAGGCAGCTCGGTAGCCAGCTAATGCAGGCAATAATATGCCTCACAAGTGGTCGTCCAAGCTGCTGAAAATCTTTCAAGGATGAGGAACCCACTGCTCCTCAAGGCAGCCCTATGGGTGGGGTAAGAATTATTTTGTGGCAGTCTCAATTTGCTTCTTTGACCTTCTACCGGCTGCTCTTGCTTCTGTCCTCTGGTGCCAAATGGAACAAGGGGGAAGAAGAGGTAGATTTTCTATAACACCTTCTACATGCCTGGCACTGTGTTAACAAGCAATGTTACAAATATGATTTCATTTGTTCCTCACAACAACCTTACAAGGTAGGTGCTATTATTATTCCCATTTTATAGCTGAGGAAAGTCAGTTTCCTGAAATAGTTGAGGTACAAGTCTAATCTCCAGCCACCACGACAATCCTTCAAATTCTTGAAACAGTTATTATGTCCACCCTAGTATTTTCTTCTCCACACTAAGAATCTCTAGTTTCTTCAACTGATTTTCACTTGACAAGGTCTGAAGGCCCTTCCCTGTCTAGCTTATCAGTATCCTTTACCTGTGGTGCTCAGAACTGAACACAATGATCAACATAATACAGATCAGATGAGATCTGATCCAAGAAAAGTATGCCAACTTTATCCAAGTCATTGATAAAAAATATTAAATAGCACAGGGCCGATCACAGATTCTTGGGGTACTCTCCTAGAAAATTCCTACTTCTTTGAAACTGAACCAGTAACCATTATGCCTTAAATCTGGCCATCTAACAAGCTCTGAATTTTATTACTGTCTAGTCCATATTTCTCCATCTTCTCCACAAGAAGCAAATTAGATCCTTGATTAAAGGCTTTCCTAAAATCTAAATAAACTATGTTCATAGCTTCCCTCCCTCTCCAACAACTGGTTTAGTAATCTTGTCAGAAAAAAAATAATGCTTGTCTATCATGATCTATTATTGATAAAGTCATGGTACTGAAAAAGGTGAAGGAAAGGACTCAGTGAAGAGGATGAGAAGTAGAGGAAGATGAGGAAACAAGAAAGAAAAGTTATTTACTAACACAAGATAAGAGGTGACTAAAGGAAGGTAAAAGAAGTTGGATATATTTAACAGTTTGTTGAAGAGAATGACAATTTTAGAATTGGGCTCTCCAAAGGAACTACTGGTGAGAAAGACAAGAACTGGTTTAATTTCCACTCAGTTCCTCAACCCACTCTCCTCCCATGTGCTATTCCTCCACCTCATCTCTTCTATACACAAAAATGGTCTTGATCTTGCCAGCATCCACAAATGTACACCTCCATATTCAAGAATTCTGAAATCCTCCTATCCAGCCAAATCTATCGGCATTCCACCTCTCCCTCTGCTTTCCTTTACCTTATTCTACACTTCCTCTCCACCATGACTTCCAATGCCTTGATCCCTCAATTCTCTCCCAGGCCATCTCCCCTGCACTAGACACTCTCCCCTCTTCTTCCTAAACTTGACTCCTTGACGAACCTATTCAAGTGTACACTGTACTCCTCTCTTGAATCCCTAGCCCTCTAATCTATTGGTGATTATGCTCAGACAAGCTTCAGATTTGGATCACTCCCACCATCATTTTTGCACCTACACATGCACTCCTGAACAAAGGTAGAGAAAATCACACAACTGGGTCTGCTACAAATTTGCTGTACAACTTCAACTGGGCTCTCATTGATGCTAGGCAATTCTACTATACATCTCTTATCAAGTCACTACCCCACTCTCCACAAGGGCTCTTAAAAATTTTTTCAACCTTCCTCAAACCTTCCATGGCTCCCCTTTTCCCACTCTCTCAGCAGAGAACTTTGCCTGATATTTTATAAAAAAAAAAACTGAGGGCATTAGCATGAACTCTCTTTTCTCCCCTCTTGCTTATCTCCTATCACTAAGATACTTTCTACCACTTTCTTTTTTTTCCTCATCCCTATTTCACTTGATGAAGTGGCCTAAAGTAGCCTCATTCCTTACCACTTTTTACCTCTGCTTGTTCAAGTGATCCCATTTGATTCAATCTCATCCAATAGATTGCCCCCTCTCTGTCATTTCCACTTTTTCATTAATTTTCAATTTCTCTTTGCCTCATTGCCTACTTCCTACAAACATGCCTTTGTCTCCCCATCCTGAAAAAACCCTCACTTGATCCTTCCATCCCCACTATCATCCTATTTCTTTTCTGCCCTTTGGAGACAAACTTCTCAAAAGGGCTATCTACAACAGGTGCCTCTACTTTTTCTCCTCTCACTCTCTTCTCAACCCTTTACAATTTGGCTTCTGACCTTATCATACCACTGAAATTGTTCTCTCCAAAACGATTAATGAACTCCTAATTGCCAAATCCAATGGCCTTTTCTCTATCCTCATTCTCCTTAGCCTCTCTGTGGCTTCTGACACTATTAATCACTTTCTCCTCCTTGATCCTCTCTTCCTTCTAGGTTTTTGGGACACCATTCTTTCCTGGTTTTCTTTCTACCTATCTGACCTCTTCTCTGTCTCCTTTGCTAGGTCCTGCTCCAGATAATGCCCTCTAACTCTATGTGTCTCTCAGGGTTCTTTCCTGGCCTCTCTTCTCTTCTCCCTCTATACTACTTCACTTGGTGATCTCATTAACTCTCATGGATTTAATTACCATCTTTATGCAATGATACTTGAATCTAGCGTTCCTGCCTAATCTGTCTCCTGACCTCTAATCTCACATCTCCAACTGCCTTTTAGATACCTCAATGTCAAGTAGATATCTTAAAGTCAATAGGTACAAAATAGAACTCATTAATCTTACCCCCTAAATCTTCTCCACCTCCTACCTTTCCTATTACTATAAGGGGCAATGCCATCCTCCTAGTTCCTCAGGCTCGCTATCTAGAGGTCATCCTGGATTCCTCATTATCTCTCACCCCCTCATATCCAAGCTGTTGCCAAGACCTACTAATTTCACCTTCACAATAATTCTCAAATATATTCCCTTGTCTACTCTGACACTGCCACAACTCTAATATAGGCCTCCATCACCTCATATCTGGATTGTTACAATACCTTGCTGGTGGGTCTGCCTGCCTCCAGTCTCTCCCCACTCCAATCAATTCTCTATTCAACCACCAAAGTGATTTCCTAACATGCAGGTCTGATCATGTGACTCCACTACAGTGACTCCCTATCACCTCCAGCAGTAAATACAAAATGCCCTGTTTCGCATTCACAACCCTTCATAACCTAAGCCCCTCTCACTCCTCTTACATCTTACTCCCCAACACATACTCTTAGAGCCAGTAATACTGACCTTCTGGCTGTTTCACGAACAGCATCCTCCATTTCTTGGCTCCAGGCATTTCCTCTGGCTACCCCTCAAGCCTGGGGTACTCTCCCTCCTTCACTCTAACTACTGACCTTGCTAGCTTCCTTTTAAATCTCAGCTAAAATCCCACCTTCTATAAGAAGCCTTACCTCTCTTAATTACAGTGCTTTCTCTTTGTTAATTACTTCTTATTTATGCTGGAAACAGCTTGTTTTGTATATATTTGTTTGCATTTGTCTCCCCCATTAGACTATATTCTTTGAGGACAAGGACTGTCTTTTGCATATTTTGTACCTCTAGTGCTTAGCACAGTGCCTGGCACACAATAGCTGCTTAATAAATATTTACTGAATTGAATTTTTATTAAGTGTGGCAAGCAAGGTAAATTGGGCAGTCATCAATGTTGTGTGCAATATCTGTATTTCTGTCAGAGCTACACAAATGTGATATATACTTCTCCCTCCTAGAAGAGAATGTAAAGGTAGTAACAACAAAATAACAGCTAAACTTTACATAACTAAGATTTGCAAAGTGATTCATATATTATCTCACTTGATCTTTGAGATGGCTCTATGAGGCAGGTGCTATTGCTAGCTTTACCTTACAGATAAAGAAAGTGAGACTGAAAGTGACTTGCCCAGAATCACACACTAAGGGTAAGCGGATTTAAACTAGGTCTCACTGATTCCTAAGTCCAATGCTTTATCAACTATGCCAGGAATACAGGAATAATGGTCTTTCTCTCTCTCTCTCTCCAATTTATTATGGAGCATAAAATGAAGGAATGAATAAATGAAAAAGTATTAAGTGTTCACTAATGCTAAAGTTATAAAAAGAGGTCTCATTTTTATTCAAGGAACAACAAACTACACATGGGCTGGGGGTCCATGAGATAAGAATGGTCTTTACATTTTTAAATGAAAGTTTTATTGTATTTTAAAATGCAAAAATTACAGCTTCTGTAGCAGCTTCATATCCTCCCAGAGATGACAATATGGATTTAAAAGTGCTGCCAGAGAGGCATTATTCAACAAGGAGAAGAGATGAAAAGTGCTGTTTGGTGAGTCTCTGCAGAAGGGTACTGGCATAACCATTTGTTAACCTAATGACAACAACAAAGAATTCTGCTTTCTTCTGTGTATATATCCAAGATATAACAGAGAACTTCCCAAGGCTCATCAAACTCTACAACAATAATGCCTTCTTGTGATTTTACATGGGCAAAAATGAAACCAAAAGAAACTTAGAAAAAACATTATTAAAAATTATGAAATCTTGGGCAAGAAATTGAAGGCTTTGGGGCACGTGAAGTTTGGAAGCTGGAAGCCTCAGTATCATAACCTACTAAAGGCATGGGATTCAGAAGAGAAAGGAAGATTTGGAAAGTGAACAGTTGACTAAGAGGATGTTATTT